GCAAGGGAAAAGGAAAAATCCTATAGCAGACTCAATTACAGACACATTCCAAATCCTTCTCATTGCTATCTTTGTCATCCCAACTGGGCCTTTTATCCTGGGGACCTGGATGAGGGGCACTGTGGGAATGTCTGATCTACTTAATTTTTGGTACTGCACACTGGAGTTGCCTGGCTTGTCAGAAAGGTTTGTTCTTGTGAATTTCCTCTCCCAGACCTCCTGCTTTGACTGCCCACCTGCTCAGCAGCTTCTGGATTAAATCTATCACCTCATTCATTTCCTATATTTATCAAGGTGCCAATAATCCTTGATTTTGGGTCCCTAATAGCCAGCAATCTCACTTCCATGCACAAAAAAGGTCAAAGATGGCTCAGCCTTTGAGAGCTGGCAGGATCACCCTGCCTTAGCCTAATACAGCTGGACTGAAAGAAACTGTAAAGCCGAGTTGAAATATCATGAGTTGCATTTTACTCTATAACCTTCTGCACTTGCTTTGGTTCTCCTTTAATCTTATGCCTCTGAATTCCTAAATCCCTATGGATTTACACAAATGTGAATGCACAGTCTGATCCCAGAGCTGAAAAACTGGTGGTTTCTGTTCACAGAAACTTAAATTCCCTGGGGATATAGAGGTAACAGGCACTGTTACCTCTATATTTACTATGTTTATATTTATTATGCTGCTGTCTGTTCTCTCCACAACACTTTTCAAAAAATGCAAACATACATTTGATTCTTCTCTTGAATTTCCTTTTGATTTTAGTTTACAGCCAGCTCTTGCACTCTAGGCTGGCATTGGTTTAACTGGGTGCACAATCCATCTCCTGTGCTGCTGTTGGCAGCTAGGGCAAGGACTGCTTTCCCCATCAGACTCAGTGCAATTCTGAGCTCCCTGAGGTACAAAGGTCTCCTGATATGTTTACAGATCATGCCAACAAGACTTCCCTGAGTCATTATGGCTCTGAATATTCCAGATGAAAGTTTAATCTGTATAGTGCATTAAAAGTGTAAGCCATAAGAGAATTCAATACCTGCAGGATTGATGGCTCTGTTCTGCTAACCGAATCAATGTTTAGGTTTTGTAAAAGTTGAGTGAGCTAAATGCAGTGACCTTCTCCTCAAAGCTGGGGCTCTTCTGAATCTAGCTTCTCCAGAGCTACTGTTTGTCCCCAGGGTTGCTCACCTGCACTGTGGTAGTGAGCTCATAGTAGATGGTGTCCAGGTCAGCATCAGTAGCAGTTACTTCTTCACGGGCTACAATGACTGTGTCCACTTCTGTATCCTGAAAAAACACATTGTTGTAGTCATTGTCTGTGTGAAATGGGTTGAAGTCCTCTCCCTGCTGACCCTTCCTCAGTCCCACAGCACTCAGTGAGCAGTTCCCTCTTCCCTTCCCAAAACCCCTTACCTCTGGGACATCCCTGGTGATGTTTGGCTGTGGAAACACGGGGGGATTATCGTTCTCATTCAGAATGGTGACTAGGATTGACAAGGAATCGCTCTGCAGAATGGGCAAATCAAAGAATCAAAGACAAAAATAGACTGTTGGGGCTGATCCTGCTTTGCAAAGTGACCAGAGGGGATGGTGTAAGGATGGGGACCAGATGGTGCTGGGGTTTGCAGCCAGCCCATGTCCTGGGGCAGGATTGTGGGCTTGTTGCCACCTCCTCCCCCCTGGCATAGCCTTGGTGCTCCGTGGCTATGAGAGCAGCGTGTCTGTCCACAAAGAGAAGGACATCTGCCCATCCCAGTGTGAGAATTAAGAGCAGAGGGAAGCAGGTGCTGCCTGCAGAGCCTTGTCCCAGGACTCAGCCATAGGAGAGCACTCACCTGGCCAGCAGGGTCCTTGCAGGTCAGGTACAGCAGCAGCACAGGGTCTTCCTGCATGAAAACCAAACCCCATCACTGTAGAAACAGCCCAAGAGAAAACCTCTGGCTAAAGCAAATGAGCCAAATTCACGTGTTGCTGAATCAGAAATGCCGCTGGGCCTTCTCTTATTTTAGGTGTATCTAACTTTTCCTTTCTTTCCTTAATGCTGGGATCCTGTTTATGGTGATATCAAATCAACCCCATCTTCCAGGCGCTCTCCCTGCAATTCCTGTAAGGTGTTGGCAGAGCTAATCTGCCATTCTCTCTCACCTCAGGTGAATTAAAATAGATTCATTTTAAAATTGAATAAATCAATTATATGCAGCAAGTACAGTGGCACCTGCGGGATGTTAACTCAGTTGTTGCTTTTCACTCAAATAAAAGTGAGTTTTTATATTGAAAGGGAACTTAAGGATGCCTGTGGCTGTATACAGAGCATTTCAGGGAGCTAAAATCATGTAGCAGCCACCTAAGTGAACACAATGACCTTTTATACTGCCTTTCTGCTTCACACAAGATGACAGAATCCCAGAATGATTTGTGTTGGAAAGGACCTTAAAGTTCATCTCATTCCAACCCCCTGCCACAGGCAGGGACACCTTTCACTATCCCAGGCTGCTCCAAGCCCCATCCAACCTGGCCTCAGACACTTCCAGGGACGGAGCAGCCACAGCTTCTCTGGGAAACCTGAGCCAGGTCAGCACCCTCACAGGGAAGAATTTCTTCCCAGTATCCCATCTAACCCTGCCTTCTGGCAGTTTGGAGTCACTTCCCCTTATCCTGTCATTCTAGGCCCTTATAAATGGCTCTCAAACTCACACAACTGAAATAACTTCTTTCCTCTAGAAACAGGTAAAGAATCCCGGAAGACCAAGACTCCAGGTTGAAACTCATTGCATCCCAGCATTATCCATCCCATCCTTACAGCCTGCCAGCTAAAGGCTTACCTCATAGTCCACACATTTTGTCAGTCGCAGCTCAGAGCCCTCAATGGTGAAGAATTGGCCATCAGGGAAATTGGGATCAATTGTTAGGGTGAAACCTGGCTGCACATGGATGGTAGCCACCACATAAGGACACTTATTTTCAGGAACACTTGGGTTGTTGTTACTGACAGAACATCCTGGAAAAACAGACAAATAAGATGCAAAATTGCCCAAGGATTCACATTGTAAAGGAGCTGGGTGAGAGCTGTGGTCACAAGCTGTGCAGCAAAGGGGTCTTGGAGCGTAGCAACCTCCCACCTGTAACCCCCTCCCATGGGACACATTCCTCAAAGACATGGACCTCGTGAAAGAGCTTACCTGGTTCCTGTGCTGAAATCTGTGCCAAGAGGGGCAGCAGGAAAAGTGCAGACATGAGAAGCCAGTAAGGAATAGCCATGGTGAGCTGCCAGTTGCTGAAAAATCCCTTTAAAATCCCTTTTTCCAGTTAAGCTGATCTCCCTGTTCTGCCCTGTGCCCTTGTTTGTGTTCACCACTTTATGGCATCAAGAAACAGCAGCTGGCTGTGGATTGCTGTGGTTCAACCTTTGCCTCTTTGCCCCATTGGATGACTTATTGAAGGATTTACCAGTCATGAAACACGATGACACATAAATCCTTGCTGCTTCTTTTTTCTCTGGATCTTTCCTATCCTAAACTCTCTGTGGCAACAAGGATATATTTGAAGCAGTTCAGAACTCAGAGCCAAGCCTTTGCCCAGCTGAGCATGAAGGACAAGGGCTGGAACATGGGAAACTGCCTGTTTACTCCAGTCTCTCCCACAGGAAAGGGGGAAAATTTGGTTTCTGATGTGCCAGAGATGGGGTCTGTATCCCACAAGGTGAGCAAGTGGATCCCAGCAGTGACAAGGCTCACCTGCAGTCCAGGGAATGCCCAGCAACTTTGTAGGGAAAACATATCTCCTTTTACTGGTGGCTGCTCCTTGTAGAGATGCTTCCCAGAATCTCCTTCAAGGAGATTCCACACTAGGAGATCTTCAACTATTTGAATCTCAGCAGCTTCCTGAAGTTTTCAGGGGACCTTTGCTCTCACTGGTCTTTTAAAATTCATTCTGATTTCAGGAAGTTCTCAGATGCTGCGCCTCAGCCAGGACGTTTTTAGCGGCTTAATGAAATCCAGGCTGTCAACACTCCTTCCAAAAGTATTTCAAAAGGAATCTTTCCTAGCAGAGACTTCCTATGGACCAAAATGAGCAACTGCCAAGGTTTGTTCAGCTCCTCAGCAAGGAAATGGTGCTTAGATGTGCATTTGAGTGGGAACAGCTCCTTTTACAGGTGTCAGGTCCATCATAGATAGTGAAAACTGCTGGAGCAGGATGGGCTGGGCAGGGCTGCACAGCACAGCACAGGATTGCAGCTGAAGAGCCTTATTTTAGAGCTGCTCTCCAAAATCCATTGGTTTTACAGGAAAACTGGTGTGGCTGTTCCATCAAAGGGGGGCAATCTGCCTGTGTGGCACAGGGACAGTACATAAACCTCATTAAGTGGTGGGAACAAATTATTCCTTTGTCTTTAGTGGCTGTGACAAAACTGGGCCACCAATTCCAGGAGCAGAATGGAGAAGAAATAACTTTTACAATGAGTATCTCTGTTGTGTAGCTCTCAGAACATTTGTTTGCCATAAGACCTAACATCTGGCTTTGTTCCTGCTGCATGGAACCCTGATTCTGACCTCTGTGCACAGCTGCACTGTAGGCACTCCCCAGCCCCAGCCATGTGTCCCACCATGCCTCATGTAGGGGAATCCTGGCAAAATGCTCCTCCCCTGCATTCCTAATAATCCAAGACCTTGTAATGGAACCATCCTTATTCCAATTTCCCAAAGAGCAGCCAAGGCACAGGCACAGCTAACCATTTTTATTTGGGATCAGCAGCAGGCAGCCAGATGCCCACACAGAGTGGAAGGGATGTGCTTCACCCAGGCTCCATCTACTGACAGCAGTACACACCTACATACATTTCACTTTGGATAATCTCAGAGGTTTCATTGGTTTTTGACTGCTTTCCAGGATTATTTTTATTTATTTGCCTATCTCAAGAATTTTTCCTAAGCAAGAGCTTCCCTGTTTATCTTCAAGGCCATACATGTGCAAAGCTGTCTCCTTGGCTGTTTCTTTCCCACCACCTTCATTCAGAATCATCTGTATCTTCCTTCATGTCTGCAACCAGTTGCTTAGAGAAGGGGCAAATGTACTGGCTGGTAATGGCAGCAGCCTCCCTGGCATCTCTGTCCGAGCGGCTGTGGGAAGCGAAAAATCAGGAACAGTCTGTTATTTCTGGGACCATGAACTGTAGGAAGTGTGACAATGCCACCTTGTGACATTCCAGGATGACTCCAAAGAGGAGGTCATGATCCCCATAGAGGGATCATGGCTGCCTGCTGCCAGGCACTCTACAAATGCACAGTGGTGTTTCTCCCCCATTGTGGCACAAGGGGTACTAAGGGCCAGCTTATTCCTCCTAATTACAGTGATTTAAGAGTGAGGGAAAGTTGTTGGGCATTAGGAAAAGACAATGTCCAGGTGCTGGGACAACCATCCTGAGGTGTGTGTTTCAATAAGCAGCTGAATCCAGACAGGGTAGCAAAGCACATTTCCTAATGAGATAAATAATTGCTTCCATCCAAAACAACAACCCCTAGGAAATTATTAAGAAAAGACATTATTTTGCTTCCCTGGGTTTTACAGTTTTTAACAACTGACTTTTCTATGGTTGTTCATAAAAGGCTTCAGTATTGTGGGGCTCAGAGTCACAGAGGTGCTCAATTTCTCCCACCTACCTGGTGTTCAGAAAGCTCTGGTACAACCAGAGAAAGCAAAGTTCCTCAGGTTTGTTTACTCCCTCTCTCCCCTGCATGTCTGTGTTGACTGGGCCAGGAGAGCTGGTTTAGATAAAGAAAATTAATAATAATTAAACACCCCAAACCAATTATGTAACCACTACCACTGCAGAGCAGCACTTGCAGCTTGTGTTGTATCTGCTGCTGTGCTCACAGACGTGGCCTCAATGTGGGCTGCTGGCCCAGGGTGGCAGTGAGAGCCCCGGGTGGGGACGGGGACACCAGAGGTTCCCTCTCACCTGCGCTTGCGGCCCATGAGGTTTTGGATGAATTTCTGAACCTGGGCGTTGCCTCTCATCTTGCTGTACTCACTGGTGAACAGCCCATCCGAGTGCCTCAGGGACCTGTGTGGGGACAGCATGGGACAGCAGCTGCACCTCCCAGCCACGTGGGACTTCCCACGAGGCACAACAATGCCTCTCCTCCCACCACTATGGGGCCCTGTACCCCTCCCCTTCCCCTCCTCATCCTGGGCAGTCAGTGCTCCGGCTGGCTCTGCAGCTGGACAGCTCAGCTCCATGGGCAGCCCCTCAGGGCAGGGATCCCACATCCTGCTGGACACTTCCCTGCCCCAGGAGGGTGGGTGTGGCTGGTGCTCACCTGTCCTTGAGGCCCACCAGGTGCTTGACCAACTGCTGCACGTAGGCGTTGCCGTTCATCTTGCTGAGCTCGCTGTGGAAGAGCCCGTCTGCGTGGCGCTCCATCCTGCAGGGTGGAACAGGGAAGGGGGAGTCAAAAGGAATGGTTTAAAAACACACAAGAACAGCCATTAAACACTGCTGCCTCAAAGCAAGAGAGTTCCAAACACACATGGGCAAGAACTTGTGCCACTTTGGCAAAGTTTCACAAAAAAAGGGGGGAAAGAGGTTGTTTTAAAAACACCTTTATTAAACATCACATAGGAAAATGACCTGCTCTTGCTTTTACTGATGTAATCACCTTGCTACAAGGATGTGGGAATGTGGGGTTATTGGTGATTCAGCACAAAAGAGTAGGGCAAGAGGCTGGAGAAGTAATAAACAAATATCCAGAGACACAAAGTTGAAGAGCACTTAGAAAAGAACAGCAAAGACCAGCCCTTGCAGACTCCCTTGGTGAACTTACAGGGTTGGCTATTTCTGGTTATGTTTTCATGGGACCAGGGTGTTGGAAACAGAAACTCTCATCTTTATCAGCCTGCATAAGTGCACAGGAGAAAAACAGACGCAAGTGTCCTTGTAACTGTGTTTTATTTTGGGGTCACAAATTTTCTTCTGAATGAAATAAAATTAACTTTCCCATCCTTAAGCAAGAAAAAACATTTACAGTATTTGCACTCATTTAACTAAATCTGCTTAGGGAAGAAGAAGATTCATAAGCAAGCAGATGCAAGTTCAGAAAGGCAGCTAAAAGGCTGGGTTTTCAGCTAGCAGGCTCTTTGAACAAAAAACCATGGAGAAAAAGAAAGCAGAGTCCCAAGAAATGCTTACCTCTCCCAGGATGGCAGAGATGCTGAGAAGTGGGACAGGACAATCATGGGAATAATTACTTGCCACAGAGTTGTCATCATGGAAACCATGTTCTCTCCTGAAATAAAGCATGAAGTTTTGTGAGCAAGACAAGTGGCCTTGGTGTGTGTCTGGTGCACATGCCCCATTAAAGACAGGGATGTGGAAACACCACCACTGTAACTAAATAAAGCAGGAATTCCTGCCAGCAGAGATGAACACCTGGAGACATCTGCAAGGGGTTTTCAGACAAAAAAAAATTTACATATGATAAACAAAATTCATTCACATATAGAGGAAGGGCTCATGTGTGTGCCCATATCCATCTATCTTCTAACCTTTCAAGAAGGAAAAATGAAATAACACAGATTAGCAGTCACAGCAGGCCCTCCTATTTTGTTTTCTTGCTGAAATAAAAATAAAAGTACATTTTCTTTATCACAAGCCATGGCATGTTTCCCCCCTTTATTCCCAGGTGCTCACCTTTCCTCAAGGATCACACAGCAGCTCTACCTGTAATTTATAATGCACACCTTTATTTTTTGCCTTCTTCCTGCAAAGAAACAAACCTTCATCACTGTCCTGCAATCTCCCAAGATGGCACTTGCTAACCCCAAATCAAATCCTCCCAGTTGTTTTTTCACTTTATTCTGAAGCTAAACAGTACAAAGAACATGCCCGAGAATTCTGAACACTTTCTAGTCCCCGCTTCTGGGACTGTTTGCTGCTCTGGAAGTGCTGCAAAATGAGAAGAGGCACAAGGAGAAAGGACAAGAGTGAGGGATTTACACAGAAATTTATTCACTGTAAACCACAGGGCAAATATTTAATGGGGGCTGCAGAGCAAACAGATGAGAGGATGAAGGAACCACAAGCTTAATCTCACACACGCTTTGAGCTTTAGTGTTGTGTTTTCCTGCCTGATCCAGCTTTGAGGGGATGGAATAGTAAAGCAAGAAGGACATTTCAAAGATCAGCATCTTACTGGAGTCCAAACAAGGCAGACTCTCCAGTCCTGGGATGCAGGAGGAGCTGAAAACAGCCACCAAAACCACAGCATCCTTGGGCAAGGGGCACCTGAAGTCTCAGCCTGTCCTTCTATCTGCCCAATTGCTGTCACACAATTCCTTGACCCCAGGATCTCACTTCAGCATCTGGCCTCCCATGGGCTGGCATTTATCTGGGAGCACCATATTTAAGAAACCATTTTAAACCTCATCCCTGGCTCCAGAGTTTCCTCTCTCTTCATAACCTTTCTAGCTGCTAATCTGGTGATCAACTTCTCTTTTCTCTTTCTGGATCTAATTTTGTGTCCCCTGGGTAGACCATATTTGCTTGCTGAAGTTCCCAGGAGCAGTGATGGCTGTTGGGGAACTTCTCCTTCCTATCAATAATGATTTTTAAAAATTACCCACACCCCAAGAAGCAGGTAGATCTCCAGTGTCATCACTGAAGGGCTGTTTAACCTTAGCAGGACACTTCCAAGCTTTTAATTTTCTCCCCATTGATGCTGGTTTTAAATGACTGCAAATTCTTTGGCCAGCTGGGATCTTTAGCTGAAAGAACTACACCCCAAGCCAGCCTGGGAGCCCTGAGGAAGGAAACCCCCCATATTCCAGCACTGCTGCTCAGGACATGGATGGCCTCATAGCAATGGCTCAGTGAGGCATCAGAGGTCTGAAACCCACCCCCAAAGTGAGAGAGAGGGGAAGGCAGCCCGTGCAGCCCACCCACCCCAGCAGGACTCACCGACCCGTGTTGCTCTGGGCTCACAGCTGATGCTCCACTGCCTGCTCCTCTTGGGGACCCCTATAAATCTGCAGCCTTATCAGGAGCAATTATTTGAGTAAAGATATGGATATGAGCAATTATGATTAACAGCAAATAATGCAGTGGGGTTGGAATGTCCCTTTAATTACCTGATCAGGTCATTCACAGCAATTTGATGGAATATTTTTGCTGATGGATAATAATTCCTGCTTCTGCCTATAATGACATTTGTTGGGCAAACATCCTTGTACCAATTGATTCGCTATGATTGTCATCATTATTTCCTGGCTTTAATTACCTCTTGACAGGAGATTAATCTTCTGTTCTTGTAATTTCATCCTGGCTTGGGCTATGTTTGCAATTTCCAGGATCTGTCAGGGAGTCCCTGTGTGCACCAGTGATTTGGCTGAATGATGTGTCACTTTTTTAGGACAAGCATTGCCTGATCGGTAGGATCAGGGCTCACTTTTCCATGAGGGGACAACACCTTTTAAACTGTGGTTTCAACTGGGAAAGGTCTGCCAAACACAAATTCTGTCACAGCATCTAAAAAGCCAGCATACTTATACATGCATGGAAAACATTCTGAATGTATTCCCTGCCATTGCTGGGGTTTGGCTGGTCTCAAATACTGCAGCTAAAGGTGACTCAAAAATAGAGGAAGAAAATAGGATTACCCTTTCTCTCCTTCTTTGTATAGTATAAAGTAGCTTGGAAGGAATAAGGAATAATAATAATAAAAAAAATTAATCTTCCAACTGGAGAAATGGGAGCTGTATTACACTCCTTATCTATTTATCTTTTTCCTTGGAAAAGCAAAGGGTGTCCCCATGACTAAAGAACTGGGAGGGACAAGATTTTCCCCATCATCTTTCCCTTGGAAGAATGCCCCAGGGCCTGATGAGCAGAACCTCAGCCCTCCAGCTTGTGAGTGCAGGCTGCAACCAGAGCCCTGCATCAGGGACAGAGGAAAACAGCAGGGACATTCCAGGTCTCATTCCAGGGCTGGATCATCGAGAAATGCCATGGTCAGCACTAGGACAGGGGAGCCCATTTCCTGCTCTGGTCCAGGCATTTCCCAACTGCTTTCCTCTCCTCTGTGTACCTGCTTTCTCCAGCTGCAGCTTCTGCCTCTGCTTCTGCCTGCAGTGGTGGTGGCAGCTTCAGGTTTATAAAAGAGGCTGAACAACATGTAGGGAGGTCAGAATTAATAACGTGATTTTCCTTCCTTTGCAAACAACCTCAGGGGTCTGAAATGCCTCCAAGCTCTGGGGAAACTCAGTTTGCCACGAGAGGACAGAGAAGAGGTTGGAATGACAAAGTGGCCCCACGATGGCAGCAGAGGGTGTGTAACAGGACACTAAAAGGTTCTGGGGATTGGAAGGACATGAAAAAAGTAATCTGATCAACTATTTTGCAACAAAAAATGGGGTTTGCCTCCAACAGCAGGGGAAGAGTGAAAAGGTGAAGGGGTAGAAAATGGTGTGGCTATGCCCAGCACTGCTGCACCTTAATGCAGGTGACCAACGTGGGCTTGAGCTCCAGTGCAGCTCTGAAAGCCCCTGGTGAGGAAATTCAGGGCCATGAAGAGAACTCAAAAGCATTTTCAAGCTGAAATTTGTAACTGAATAAACCGGAGCCCAAACCAATTTCTCAGTCCTGAAACAACATCTGATTCTCCTTAACCAGAATTTACATCAAACTCTCATCAGGAGACACTATGGAAATAGGAGTAATAAAGAATCCTGCTAACAATATCAATTGAAAGGAGCTTTGTGAATTTGCACCTTGCTTCTCCCACTCTCCATTTGTGTGAACACTCCAAGTCCCAGCAGGGGAGTGGAGATTCCCCTTGCCTGCATCCAGCAGGCACAAAGCAGGACTAAATCACCCATTTAGATGAAATCTATAACCCATTATCTATGTGCAGCATCACTGCAGAGAAAAGCTTTCAGCTATTTTCTGGCTCTAAGAATGACAGAGAAATGACTGGCCTCACCTGATCCCTGCTGCTGTACCACTGCCATGCCTGCAGGTGCAGGAAGTCGGGGCTGGAGTGATCCCAGCCCCTGGCTGCCCTGACTGACCTGTCCACGGCACATAACCATTTTACAGGATTTTAACAAAGTGCCACAAACAGCTGACACTGAGCAGTGCTGAGGCTGTGCACACACACTCCTTGAAGACAGCAGGGAGAAATGCCCCAGGACAAGATGGAGAAGGGATCTGTGAGCTTTGGGGCCATGCCTGAGCTGCCCTGGGGACGCTGCCAGGTATAAAGCCATCAGGATCTTTGTGCAGTCACTTGTGCTTAGGCTTGACACCGACTGACGTGCCCAGCGTGGAGAGACCTGTGATGGGATGCATTAAGGAAATCCAGTTGCCATGGGTACCAGGGCTACTCCCAGTAGCCACGCTGATGCCTGGGGACACCCTCGTGCCAACAGAGAGCAAAGATTATGAAACACAGGGACCACCCCCCTTCAACACCCAGGCTGTGGTTACTGCTCTGTCTCAAAGGCATCAGAGCTAAGAATGGAACAGAGGAAGGTCTTTTTCCTCCTCCTTACAGTGGAAGGGTTCACCAAATCTGCAGTGTAAAAGGCAGCATCTTAGAGCCACGTTAAATGACTTAGCCCCAAATTTGGCAATATTTGAGAGATTGTGTGAGCCTGGCCTTTTTTGATGTTGGACGTAAAGACAAGAAACTGCATTTCAGAAAAGAGAGGATTTCATCACAGAGCTACCTATCCTGGCCCACAGCACAGGGAGGATGCAGGCAGATTCTCCAAAATCAGCACTCAGAGCTCTGGAGAGGTCATTCTGAGCTCTGAAGGGGAGAAATTCCCATTCACCCTTCAAAGTAATTGATGCAGGATATCAGAAAATATTTTTCCCTGGTGAAACAGTGTGGATGCATTCAGAGGCCCCCTCCAGAGAGCATTAAGAACAGGCTGAAAAAATGCTTTTGTCAAGTGGATATAGTTGCTCCTGCCTTGGACAAGGAAAGCCCATCCAGCCTTTGGCGTTGCTGTTTATTCAGGGCAGTCCTTACAAAGTTTGCCCAATCCTTGCCAGCCTGTCCAGAATCCAGACCCCAGGATCTGCTGGAGCTGCTCTCCTTCCTGGAGACACCGTGACTGGCCAAAACACATCCCAAAATCATACAGCCATGCTTTGCACAATGGCTTTGGGATGGCAAAATGCACAAGGGTTAAGCCAGGCCAAGAAGGCTGTGGGAGGATTACGTCATGCCCCACACATGTCCTGCAATGGTGTCCCAAGTCCTGACAGAGCTGTC